TGGCACACTCACCATCCACCCGCCTGTCCGTCATCCCTGGGCACAGCCAACTGCCCCTGGAGCTCTGTGGGGGAGGAGACCCTCCTCTTCCTCCTCCTGGTGCTGTGCAGGGTTTTCTGGGAGGAGACAGGAGGCTCTTCAGCTTCTCTTTCGATAAATGAAGAACCCTGAGTTAGGTGCTCGTGGTTTGATGGCAAATAAATGTGCCCTGCCCACCACAGCTCCCCTTCCTGCAGTTGGGGCTGGAGCCTGGCATGGAGGCAGCACATCCTGGTGGGGTTTAAGGCCACGTTTTCTTTATATCCTTTTCCTTTGGTAGGTGCTGAGCTGCATTTTCACCACCCACAGCTCCCCTTGGCACAGGAGGAGCCTGATGGTCCTCTCTGATGTGTCACTCATGGCGCAGCCTCTCTGATCCAGCCCTCATCCTCCTCCCTGTGGTGGAGGAGCTCCTGGGCTCCTCTGGAGAGAGTTCCTGTTCCCGGGGCTCCAGCTGGTGAGGAGTGAAACTCTATCAGTGCTTGGTGACTGCAGGAAGCTTGGGATGAATGAGACTCCAGCATGGCCGGATGCCTCTGGAGCTGCTGACAGGTGGCATTGCCTCCCTGGAAGGACACTGTCCCTCTCCAGCTGCTCCCTGCTATCCCTGGCTGCACGCCCTCTCCAGTACCTGCTGCTCACCCAGTTAGCATTCCAGGAGCTGTGGCCACCTGGGCTGCTGCTTAGTGGAGGGATTTGCTGTACTCAGATGGAAAATGCAGCAGGAACTTTAAACTGTCCTGTGGCTAAATTTGGCTCAGTTTTCCAACCCTGCAGCTCCCAGATCTCCTCCTCTGCCCTCTCTTAGTGAGAGGAAAGGAAACTGTCAGGTTGTACCAAGGAGCCACCTAAGCATGTACCAAACACTTTCCCTGAATGATACTCTTAGTGCTTCCCCAGCCTCAGGGGGAAAGTCTGGCTGTGAAACCAAGAAAGGAAGAGGGAACAGAGTGTGTCATGGGGAGCTCCAGCTGATGGGATTCATCCATAGTATTTCTAACTGCCTAATCAAGATTTTTGTGACACAGAATTTGCATTTACACACCTGTGCAGCAGATGGGAATAGGAGTATCTTATAATTTCCAGGTGCTTGAGCCCTGCTGGTACCAGTGCCATCTCTGATGCCATAGGATTGATTTCTGTGCCATCAGGAGTGAGGAAATGCTCAGTTCCTTTCAGTGACCACTTGCAGAATTTTCCACAGAAGATTGGGAGAATCCTTGTCACATTTCCCAGCGTTTCTATGGGGTGTTGGGAAGGGATCATAGAGGGAATCATACCCATTTCTGCTTGGGAGTGGGAGAAACAGGAGGCCATTCCTCATCTGAGTCACGGACACGAATGAGCCTGGTGCACTGGGATAACTGGGTATGTCTGGTACTTGCCAGGTGATTAACCTGTCTTCATATGCCAGGAAGGCTTTCCTGGAACTGGAGACACTGGCCAACATAAATTGCTTCTGTCAATGTGCTTTATTGGACTACATCAAAGTAGAATCGATAGAGAGTTAAAAAAAAACCACCAAAATGGGCTTACTAAGGCAGAGCAAGTCATAAACAGACTGGAGTGTAGTGCAGGTCAGGTTTCACCTGGCAGCCTGGAAAATAGGGGGGTTCTGGCGCAGCCAGAGGGTGATTCATTGCCCTGGAATATTCCAGGGGAGGGGAACCATGCAGGGGTTGTTAACACACTGCTGCAGGGAGAGGGGCTCAGGTTTCTGCCTCCAACTTTGCTGTCACAGATTTGTACTGATATCATCTATATCGGTGCACGTTCTCTGTTTCCACTTAACCCAGATGAAAGTGTGGTTATTGTGTTCTAAGGTTGCTGGAACTTGTTAATAATTTAGAATAATAGAGTCAAATTAATTCACTCTTAAAATCGAGCTTATTTGCATTGGCTTGTCTGGGTTTTTTTGTAGGAGACCTCTCTGTGGGCATGTGTTTGTGTGAGCTTTTTGTGTGTGCCTGGGAGTGTTTGTGTGCATACGTAATTTCCCTCTCCATCTCACAACCAAAAGAGGCTGAGCTGGGTTTAAACGTTGGACAGGAAAAATAGTTTCTCCCTGCCTGTCACGAAGGTCCACCCCTAGGTAGAGCTGAATAGCTGAGGTATAAATCCATGGGGAAAAAAAAAAAAAAAGGGGGTTGTAATGGAAATGCTCCCTCGTTTGAAATTATAGCCAGGCATATGTGAGGCTGGAATTCTTGCTGCAGCATCCAGACGGTGCCTCAAGCTGGCTGCACATTCCCAGGAATAAAGAACCCCCCAGCTTACCTGCAGACTGACCTTTGTGCTAACTCTGACACGCAGCTCAGGAGCTGTTGTGCTGCACGAGGCGGGTGCGATCCCGGAGTGACAGATTGCTGCTGACAGGGAAAGGCTCTTCCAGCTGCATTTCTCTGCAGCCTCGGCGATATTTCCAGGGGCTTGTTAGAGGAACAACAGCACCAGCCAATAACCAGTTGGTCTAAGCCCTGGGGACAGACCGTATGGCCCACACTCTGCTTCCTGAGCTGGAGCAAATTCAGCTGCTTTAGCACTTCCAGCCCTCACGTTACCCAGCAAAGGAACACGCTCGTGTGTGCTTCTGTCTGTGGCAATGCCTGCACCTATAAATAACAGCGTGTGTGTGTGTGTGTGTGTGTGTGCATATTTATGTGTCTGTGTATTTATTGTGGGGGAGGCTGGCTGCAGAGCAGTCCAGAAAATTGAAATCCTTTTGTGCAAATCCTGCTCTGGCAGAGGGAGCGGAGCCAGGAGACCAGGGGTGATGAATTGGCCCTGAACTGCGATGGCAGTCCTTTTTTTTTTTAAGTCAAAACAATTTCAGGGAAAGGGTCTCCAAAAGAAGTCCAGTTTTAGAAGGTGGCTCAATTGAATTTCTGGTTCCTGGCTGCCTGCCTGGAGGGCCTCTTGTCACTTCTACTTTCTTCCAACAAGGCAGAAGGCGGAATTGACAGCAGCCTTCCCGCCAGGCTGTTAGGGAAGCAGGGAAGCCAGATGCTTTGCCTCCCTGCTCCCTCCCCCTCCCGCGACCCGACAACCAGAGAGTTAAGTTGTTTAACTCTTGCGTTTTCCCTCTCGGGTGTTCCTGGTCTGGCCCAGTGGGGATCCTGAGGGATGACACAGCGCCTGGAAGCTGAGGAGTGTGCAGGGGGTTCCTCGGGGTGAGGGCAGGAGCGTGCCTGGCACACGGGGAAGTGTCCTGAGGCTTTTGTACAGTAAAATTAGACTTGTACACAGAAAGATTCTGCACAGAGGCATGGGGTAGGAATGGGCTGATATATGAGCCTCTCTCCCAGAGCAGACCCAGGGCAAAGAGCTGTATGATATGATTTCAGAGCTTCCATCCTAAACCCACCTCTAAACTCACCCTCGGTCTCTGCTATTTTTGTCACTGCGTGTAGGGTACAGTGTAGGTGAGAGCTAGAATATTCCTATAATTTCTTCAGCAAGGACAGTATGCTCAGGCCCCTCTTTTCTTTGCTGAGAATCATCATCTTTAGATGGTAAGAACTGTGGAAGGTTGCAGTTGCTGTTGAATTAACATTTCTACATGCATCATTTCACTAGATAATTTGCTGACTCTAAAAATTTTTGTATAACCAAATTGATTGGCTGTTTTAACATTTGTCCAACACCATTTTTAAGTGGTAGTTAAATGATGTGGAGAAGGGAGCCCTTTCTTTAGATTCAGGGCTGTAGCAGGGTGAGATTCTGTAATTTAGTTTGTTGAGAAAGGACCTGCTCCAAGTCAGGGGTTGTGCATTTCTGACACACCTGGCTCACAGAGCCCTTTTCAACTGGAAAATGGGGTGACAAAGTGGTAGTGGATGGCCAGGAACTGGCACCCCCTTCCTCCCCAAGCTCATCTCATTGCCAAAAGCTCTGCACACTGGTTAAGGTGAAACCCTTCTCCTATACTAAGAACAAGACAACATGGCCTCAGGCTGTGCCAGCGGAGGTTCAGGTTGGACATCAGGAGGAATTTCTTCATGGAAAGGGCTGTCAGGCATTGGAAGGGGCTGCCCAGGGAGGTGGTGGAGTCCCCACCCCTGGAGGTGTCCAGGGAAGGCCTGGCCATGGCACTCAGTGCTCCGGGCTGGGGGACAAGGTGGGGATTTGGCACAGGGGGGACTCAGTGACCTTGGAGGTCTTTTCCAATCTCAGTGATGCTGTGAAATAGCCCAAAATGGGACCAAACCAGGGTCTTGAAGGGCAAGTTTCGCCAGGGGAGGGTTTATATGAGATATTAGGAGAAATTCTTCACTGAAAGGGTGGTCAGGCATCGGAAGGGGCCACCCTTTGGAAGGGGCTGGTGGAGGAGTCACCATCCCTGGAATTGTTCAGAAAACGTGTGGAAATCACACTGGAGAACATGGTTTAGTGCTGTAACTCCTCCCTTCCACCACAGATCGCTGTGTCCCTGTGCCCCCTTCCCCTGTGGGGAGGATGGTGATGGAGCAGCCTTTCCTGGTGCTTGGCATCCGTGCTGCCCCTGGCAGCTCAGACAGGACTGAGCAGCAGCCTCGGGCAAACCACGAACATTTGTCACCTGCAGCAAGGCAAAAAGGGTTGCCCAGAACAGCCTTTGGAAATATTTTAATTATCCTGGTTGATCTGGCAATCAACTAACTTGAGGTAAAGATCACAAGTGGAGACAAAGTCTAAGGGGAATTTTACGCTTGGAGTCAAATTTCAGTGAGGTTTTTGAAGCGTTTCTAATTGGGATGGTTTAGCAGCCATCGCCAAACCTCCCCGAATCCAAACAGTTGTGGTGTTCGTGGAAGGCAAATCAGCCCCGCAGCTCCAGCACAGCACTGAGAGGTGGGGGAACACGGGGCCTATAAAAGAACCAGCCCAACCACCAAGGTCGTTCTGAGCAGCTTTATAGTCAGAAAACTCCTTAAATGGACTGTAAATCAAAAAATGCAATTTATTTTTTTTTGTTTCTCCAGACTTCCCAGTGAAGGATGAGCCCGGCTGCACTCAGACTGAGCCAGCCTTGCCAGCCAAAGCAGATTCTTCATCCCTGCTTCCAAGCAGCACGGGCTTAAACAACTGGTGTCAGAGTGGGGTGTCTCTGCAGTCCTGGCCACGAAGAGAGGTGATTATTCCTCCCTCATAATTCCATTTCCCGGAGAGGCGTGCACCTTCCTCTGTTCTGTCGACATGTGCTGCTGGAGAGATTCATTTCAGTAATAAGGTCTTTGCAGTGGAACTCAACAAAAATGAGGGGGCAAGTTTATTAATTATATATTTTACAGTTAATGAAAGATAATATTTAACAGAAGTAATTGCAGGCGTCTGCCTTGATGGCACAATTAATTTCCAGTAATAAACGGGTTGTGTGTCCCTTTGTTGGACTGATCAGTTATAGAGACAAATCCTGCCTCGTGCTAAGCCCCTCTTATCTCTTCCCATTTGCAGGAGATGAAACGTCCTGTTTGGAGCACAGGGAAGGGGCTGGAGCTGGGCTGCCATCTCCACAACTGAAAAACTACAGTGAAATCAGAGTTCTTTGTTCATCTTTCATTGCCTGCTTTGAGGAAAACAGTGATCAGGAGATGAGACATGAGCCTTGAGGTGAGTGCACATCCCACCCCCCAGCTCTGCCAGCACACTCAGCTGGGCCTGCTCTCCCTTCCTGGCTGTCCCTGCTCTGAGAGGCAGAGAAACTTTGTTCTGCAGGACTCAGGTATTCACCCCTCCAGCTGCTTCTGAGCAGTCTCTTCCATCTCTGCTGAAGTGCCATGTAGGAGCACTTATCACCCATCTCAGCTTGCGCTCAAGCTGTTCCCAACACCTGGGCATGGATATACCTGAGCTGTCCATGTGGTGCTTGCCAGGCTGTCGGACCACAGGCCCCTTTGGGATCTGACACAAAGGGTGCCTCGTGTGCCCTGAAGTCTGGAGAGCGGGAAAGTTTGTTCTGCACTGTCACTGGTAGTGTTTCTGTTCTCCTAACACCTTTCCAACAGGTTGGTAGGTTCTACCTCACGTAGGTGTCCATCCGTCATTATATTCCTCCTACCTGAGGTACACGCCGAGCCTGTGACACAGTTGAGTGATTTTTATTCCCTCCACTTGAGGGAAGTATCTTACAACGTTTTGAACTGGTCCTCTGTGATTGACTCCTGCCACCTATTTCTGAAATGCAGCCAACAAGGTAAAAGAACATTTAGAAAAGTTAATTGATCCATTTAGGACAGGAAGTGAACCCAGAAGTTGGATAAAACACTGCAAACAGCCAAACCCAGCAAGGCTGCTCAAACCAGAGCCATCCTGTGAGAGTGTGATGTTCCTTCCTGTTTTCTATTTTGCTGCAGAAACTGTTGGTGCAGTTGGTGGGTTCTCCCCGTGGGGCTCACTGCAAAGGAGTGAGCTCTGCACACCTCCAACAAGGTCCTTCCTGTGGAAGAGGTGATGGGAGCTGCTCAGGGAGGTGTTTATCCTAAGGCATGCCCACAGGGATCAGGGTTAGGTTCAGACTGCTTCGGTGTCTTCATTAATGAGCTGAAAGAGGGGTAAGCAGCGTGTTAATGACATGGAGGATGAATCCAAGAGGGAACAATGCCAAGGGCCAGGGGAGGTCACTGGTTCCAGCCCAGGAGTGAGCAGGGCTGGGCTGTGTCTGCCACAGGCTCAGTCTGGCTTCACACTGGCCTGGTTTGGTGAGTAAAATGCAGAGCTGGGGCTGAGTCTGGGCAGCCAGAGCAGCGGGTTGGGTTTGTGAGGGCAGCTGTTCAGCTGAGTGTTGGCTGCTCTGCTTTAAGCCCCAGGTTTTCTGCAGACCCATCTTGTAAATATTTAAGCACACGAGTAACGAGGCTGGGTGGGGGTTTGCAGGCACGGGGAGGGGGGAGCAGAGGGTGTGTGAGCTGCATGTCTGTCTCTCTCGTGTCTGCACCCGTGTGTGCACGTCTGCCAATACCTTCCAGAGAGATTTTCATCCAGAATGCTCTGACAGCCTTTCAGGCATCAATCACACAGCACTGCAATCCCCCTGCAAGGTCAGGGAGTGCTGCCAGCCCGTGCAGCCACGCTCCTCCGGCAGCAAGAGGTTGTGCCTGAGCAAGGAGGGATGGGCAGAGGGGTAGTGGCTCCTGCAAGTGTGTGCACTGCCTGCAGTCAGAGCTTTCCTGATTCCCAGAGCCAGGGATGGGATCCAGGTCTCCTGAATCCCCGCTCCCCACCTTGACCACTGGAAACACTTCCTGTCCGCAGAAACCTCGCCGTGAAACCACCCGCCGGAGCAGGGCTTTGTAGTCTGGCAGGGAGAGCACAGGCCCTGCTCTACCCGATCCGCAGGCGCATTTTTGGGGTTGCGTGTTTACTGAAATCTTGGCTTTGCTGGTCTGGGGAGAATAAAAGTTGATTGTTCAGCAGCCAGGGCTCGGCGTCGCCCTGCCCGTACGTGTAGCTGCTCTGCACAGCCACCCCAGGCCAGAGGGGATGTTTGTGGGGCCGCAGCTGCCCGTGTGAGCAGCCTTGTCTCTGCTCTGTGGTAAACACAGCTCTGGTTACCTGCTCTCACTGGAGCCTTTCTGGCTTCTCCAAGCCTTCCCTCGGCCGCCTTGGCTTCAGGGCCTCGTGATAGCTGGATTGATTTATTTATTTAATAATAGAACTTAAAGAAGGGGTTGTTTTCCAGATCGCTCCGGCCCAGGCAGTCAGTGGCTGTCTCTGTGGAGCAGGTCAGGATGGGGTTAGTGTGGAGGGAAGCAGGACTGCCTGGTGAGCCTCAATTGCCAATCCCACTATTCCTTCTGCCCCTCAGCCTTCTCCCTGTAGCCCCTCTCCTCCTGCACTGGCAGGAAAGTTCCCAGTGCTGTGCAGGCTGTCCAGACTCTGCCGTCTCAGGATGTGGCAGGGATTGAAAGGAACTTCACAGCCCAAGGCTACAAACGGGACAATATGACAGTAGAGAGAAGATGACAGAACACAAGGAGTGGGCCTTCCATTGGTTATTTATCCCATGTAGGTCCCTACAGGTGTCACAGCATGTGCTTGCTGTCTCTCACCCTCTTTTGTGAGGGGCAATGACATTGTCCCCATTGGGCTTAGCAGTGTTGTCTCTTTGTTCCCATGGCTGGGAAGCAACTGCACTCTTGTGGATGATGGAATAGTCAGCGTTTTAAACAAAAGTCGGAGGTCTGTGCTCTGAGGCATCTGCTGCTCCTTATCTGAAGGCAGTTAACTCCTGGCTGGGGTGGGAAAGGGTTTCCCTGCTCCCAGCTCCGCAGGCAGTGCCCACAAGCCGAATGGGTCACTGTGCTGCTTTAGGTGTGTGAGCTCTGCCTGGCAACTCTGCCTGGGGCAGAGGTCATTCCAACCTCCCCATCACCGATGCTCTCCTGGCTGTGGGTTTTACAGCTGGAAAAGGAAACTCCATGGCTCTCTGACCTTGGCTGGGCACAGTGTTCAGGTGCATCCTAAAGACTCCACGTTCCAAGAGGCTGGAGTCTGTCACAGCACAGCTCTGCCTCAGGGGGGTCATTTCCCTGAAGGTTTGGCTCTTCCTTCAGGAGTAAATCTGCGTCTTCCCACTCTGCCTATAAAACTGATAACACCGAGATTGCTTTACACATCAGCAACAGAACAGAGACAGCAGAGGCAATCAGGACCCAAAATAATTATGTTTATCATCTATAATCATCACACAGAGTCTAACAGCACATTAGCACTTCCAGCAGGCAGCTCTCAGCAACACAGGAATGCAGGCAGCGTTTTTTGAGGATGCACTGAGTGTTTTAAAGGATACCAGCCATGGCTGAACGTGCCCTGGGGGATCCTCTGGGCTGCCAGCACCCCCTGCTATTGATGTGTAGGGAACAAGGGCAGGTCCAGTGCTGAACCCCTCTCTGTAAAGCCTTACTGGGTGTAGTTTCCAGAGTCAGGCTGTGGAAACAACAACTCAGCCCCTTTCTCACTGATCCTGGGGATTTGGAAGGTGTAACCTGGAAGAGCCCACAGCTGCTCGAACCCCTCTGCATGGAAGGGATTATTCCAGGGGAACTCTGATGTTTCCCCTTGTGATGCTGTCTCTGCTCCCTGTTTTCCTGCCAGCCCTAGAATACAGAAGCCTGAGCAAGGACTTTAGGGCTGAGCTCCCTGCTGGCAGAACTGTCCTCCTCTGTGATGCTGCACAGTCTGGGGGTGCAGGGCTAGAAACGTCCAAGAAAATCCAGTGATCTCAGTTCAGGTCAGGTCCCTGCAAAAAACATTGGCAAGCAGCAAAACCCAACATTCTTCACTCCATATCCCCCAGCTTGGTCCTCTCTCTCCACTGTTAGGGAGAGCCAGGTTTGCAGCAGGGGAGAACAGGCCAGAGAAGGTCTTGGCCAAAAGGAGAACAGTCAGTTGGTGCATTTATCCATTGGGTGGAAGGTCTCAGTAACTGCTTGGAAGGGAAGGTCTTAGAGCCAGATTTGTGTGTGGAATTAGTTGGAATCCCATCAAAAGCCTGTGACGCTTCATCTCTTCCGCAGAACATCTGAGCTGCTGCACATTTATTTATTCTGATGTCTTTGGTTATAAAGTGGCTTTCTAAACCCCTTGTTTTCCATTATGGTCTCCAGATGAGGGTGTAAAATCCCTTCTCACAGGATGCCAATCCTGAGGTGTCTCAGGGTGTAAGGGAGGGATAGTTCCCATCCTCTCTGTGTCTGTCAGTGGGAAATGGTGTTTCTCCTGCAGACACCACCCCACTGCCAAGAACTCCACTTTAGCAAGGCTCGAAGGAGCTGCTTTCAGACCTGGAAGGGTTTTTTTAGAGCCAAACCTTGATGTAAATGCAAGCCAATCAGGCTTTCACTCCAGCACTTCACTTTTCCTGCAGATTGCTTTTCCAGGGTCACCCTCTGGCTTATCTGCAGGACTGTGGGAATGCTGTAGACAGGAGCTGTTCTCCTGTATCTAAAGACAACCAGCTCAGGGTGTGAGCCAGACAGATCTGTGGTGTGGGTACCCCGTGCCAGGGAGCTGAGGAGGGGGCTGAGCTCCATGGAGTGCTGCAGGCCTGGCCAGAGCAGCCCTGCTGTTCCCTGTGCAGCTCCCCTGCTGTGTCAGGGATGTGCAGTCCTACAGTCAGAGGATAATGGGGGGTGAAAGGAGCCTCAGGGAGTCTTCAGAGCCAGCTTCAAAGTGAGGTCCAGTTGGTCTGGACATCATCCAGTCAGCTTTTGTGTCTCTTCAAGGGCAGGGATTGTTCTGCCTCTCTGAGCCCCTGTCCCAGATAATTGGGTTTTCCTGGAGCTGAGTGCTCAGTAGCTGAGAGTGGTCTTTTCCAAAATCTTTGCCCTTTTCTGTGCTGGCAGAAGCTCTGCTTGCAAAGACTGAACACCCCCCAGGCTTCCCCTGTGCTCCCAGAGCTCCTCCAGGCCCTTCATGGGCTTTTCCAAGTGCAGAAAGGCTGATGCTGGTTCCCATCCCAGGGTGTACCCAGGGTGGGTTAGAAATGCATATTAGAACCAGAACATCACAGTAAATGTGCAGCAGCTCAGATGTTTTGCTGAAGAGATGAAGTGTCACAGGCTTTTGATGGGATTCCAACTAATTCCACACACAAACCCAGCTCTGAGATC